AACCTCTACTACTGAAATCAAAAGATGTGAATTCAATGCAAAAGTGTGAATGTGAATTTTGACATCCAGTTTTCAAGTGCTAGTATTTGTGTTTTGGTTTGTTTTTAAGTAAAAATGTCTTTGAATTATTATTTATAGGTAGATACTGTTAAGAGAGTACAACAGACCAAATAAAAGAAGGAGCTCTTTGCGAAATGGTTAATAATGGTCTATTGGCAAATCATCACTATTGCAAGTGTCATAGTTACAGCTCAGCTTTAAAGTATATGAATTTAAAACCTAACTATTGTGACTAATATTTATTTCAAAGTACAGAATGTGTCACAGCAGTAGGGCATCCTATTATTAATGCAGTAAACTCTTGCTGTAATAATTTTTGGTATGAGGTTGCTGTGCTCAAGTTCACAGCTATATAAAAGTAACAGTGAAACATGCCTTTTTTCGGCTGTATCTTGCTGTAACATGTGAAATGACTCGTTCCCAGGAAGAGCCATATGGACAAGTTGTTCCATATTAAACTTACTACAGTATAACTTGGAGTTGGCCTTGTATGCTATAAAGTCTCTGGTTAAAACACCAATTTTAAAGACTGTTTTCAATTCTCTTCTACTTTTTAAATCAAATCAAGGCAAGGCATGGCTTTTCCAAGTAATGTATTCAGGTTGGAATTTCTTTATTTGAAAGAGTTCATGAATTCTTACCTGCTCTTTCATCACTATGATGCTGATGCTTTGCAAGGATCATGTCTGGGTCTTGCTCTATTTAAAATATGCTTTGCACTGCATGCAGTTGCATACTACATTACATGAATCTACCACAGTTTTTTTCTCTGACGGTGCCAGCTTATACTCCAGATCTTAATTTCACTGAAGGAATTTGCATAGATCCCACTTACTTCAAATGTAAGAGTAAAAGCTGCAGAGGAGTCGTGTTAATGCAGGCAGATTTGTGCAGAATATGATATGTAGCCAACATGTTTTCTTCATGTTTCCTTTGTTTTTTACCCTCAAAGAGGCACCTGCTGCTGCAAAGGGGCACTGCAGTGGCTTCCAAATCAGGAGCATTCACTTTCTGTGCTTGCAATAGATTTTTTTTTCCCCCTACTCTGAAAGTCACTACTGAAAAAACCTTTCTGAAATAAAAGAACAAACACAAGAATGATATTTCAGGGTAATCTCTTTTTGCCTTAGCCACTGGTAGGTGAAAGGAAGAACGCTTATGCATTTTCAAAACAAAATGAAAAAACAACCTTTTCTGATAAGTTTTGTATTTTAAGTGGCCTTTTTTGGAGAGAGGGAATTCCCTAGCTTCAGTTTATATTTACTGGAATATCGGTAGCTCGTGTAAGCTTGAGTTTTTTCCTTTTTGTTTTGGCAGTGTTTTCCAGTTGAAAAGAAGAGTGAAGTCCCAGTACTCTGCCTTTTCCAAATCTCTAGTTTGTAGTTGTACTTATCATCAATATTGCAGGCCCTGACACTCTGCAGCACTGTCACTGTATATACTGTGAAGGCAGTAAAAATGAGCACTAATCAATCTTTCAGGGAGAAGCAATGAGCATTAGAAGGCCACTATCCTGTGACTAAACACACCCCTTTTATGGAGTGTTGGTGCTAATAAAGGACAGCTTATTACTGAGGCAGAGACCAAAGCTTGGGTGAGGTCAACCATGACTGGCAGTCATCAGTCATTCTTAATGATACTTTTTCCCGTGCTTTCTAAGGGATTCTGAGCAGAGTGCAAATCATTCGGGGTCATCCATAGTTCATGTACCCACAGATGGCAAAGGTTTTGAAAGACTTTAGTTTAAACTTGGGTGTCTTTTTTTTTTTTTTTTAAACGTTACTCAAGTAGGCAAAAAACCTCAAACAAAACAGATTTTGCTCGTTTGGAATGTTGTATTTTCTTTCACTCTAATAGATGTTTTACACACTAGAGTGCTTGTGCATTATAAAGAACTACATAAATTTATTTTTATGACGTCTGTCTTCTTTAATTATTACCTTTGATGTCTATTGGTGACTAAAGAGAGCTTAACAGGATTTCTCTCCCTTCTTAAATTTCGCAAAGTGAAACTCAGCCAGTCCCTGACAGATGTCTGTTCCTCACCTTCAGGATTATTTTATAAATCCCTTTCTGATGAGCGGAAGTGTCAAATCAAGGACAGGTCATAAAGTAAAAGTATAAACCTTTTAAAAGGAGACCTTGGTAATATATAAACATTTTGCACACTATCTGAAATTTTATGGACTTTAAAAATGATATTTTAGCAATAGGAAGGCAAAAGTTTAAAACACCAGGCAGTGTGCACATGTTTTTAAATACATGCCATTCCCTTGCTCCTTATCTTTCTTTCTATAGTCATATTTTACATGTTTTGAGAAAATAGCTGTACTCTCTGTAGGGGCTGTCACTAAAGTTTGGGTTTCAAAGGGTCTCCCTATTTCATTTACTTTGAAATTTGTGCTCTTTTGAGTCGTTGTTTTTAAATTCCTCAATTAAGCACTCTCTGCACCACCTTGATGTTGGTGAGTGGGTATATTGCTGCTGTGATCTAGACAACTGCTGTCATTTTCAGATGGTTGAGATTATCTGAGATTTTACTTGAGCAAAACTGTTAGTTTATTTCTAAAAGCTGAGGTAAACTGGATTGTTTTTTGGGTCTACTGGGAAGTCTGCAGTACCATGCAAAGAAATATTTTACAGTAGTACATTTCTTTATAATGCAAAAATCCTGATGGCAGGTTGGAGGGCAAGGGAATGTGTGTGGTTAAATGTATATACATACATTTATGCATATGAAAGTACAGAGACTTTAAAAATTGACTGTAACCAGTGGTGTAATTTTTACAGTTACAGATGACTTGTATTTTATTTTCCTCTTTGTACTGTTGAAAAGCCAGGCATGTACAGCATATGTAAACTGAAGAATGCACTTTCGCTTGATTAACATCAAAAGCTCATTTGTTTCCTGGTGTGTCTGTGCGGCACCAAGCAATATAGGACTTGTCCCATGTAGAAACATTTAAAAGTTTCCATATTTTGTTGCATAAAGTGGTAACATACTGAGGGGAAGGGGAACAAGGTAAATACTTGTTTTAAAGGTCAGAGGGTTTTTTTTCCTGAAGTGTTTTGTGGCTAGGAAAATTGTCTGATGAAGTCTTTCATGGGGATGTGAATGTTTTCTTTCCTTGTTGGGATTTGTGTCTTTTTTGTGTCCTGGTTAAAATCTCAAGTCAGCTGTGTGATGCCACAATTAACATGCCATGTCCGAAGCTTCAGCAGAGTTAGACAAGTTATTGGTGAACTAGTGTGCATCACTGGAAATGATGTAAAGCATGTGGAAATTACTGTCTGACAAGCAAATATTTATACAGTGTTCAAGCTGATAGCAGTGCTCATTAGGCCTGAACTGGGGGGGCCTGTTGCACTTTTGCGAGCCCCCATCCCCGTGATGCTCTTCAGTAATTGCTGGTGGAATTACAAGTGATGCTAGAAGGCAACTTACCTGGTGCAGCTGGCTTTGTGCAGGCACAGGGGTGTGCCCATGGGCAGCCCAGTGCTAGGTCAGGACCTGGGGTTACCATTCATCCAAGAAATATTCCTGTTCTGGGCTGTATGTATCACATGAGACCTTTAATTTTCAGTTATGTGGAGTTGTGGATGGTGAGGAGGAGGTGTGAGAGCATCTACACGGGGATAAAGATGGTGAAACTCGCATCCTGTCACCGCTGGCTTGTGGGCCTGCAGAAAGCCTGGGCTACCCTCGTAGGTCAGCTGAATGTGTAGGCATGACATTTTAGTGATCTGTGGTGCTGGTTTTCTCCCTGGTCAGGGAATGAATGTCACCTTTGGGTTCAGTGTCCATCCTGTTCCCCTGTAGCTAGAGTATAAACAAAAACCCAGAGCCATTCTGTGCTTGCATCTCAGCAAGGTGATGCGTGAGTTCAGCCTTTCACACAGGCGTAATGCTTGGATTTAGATACTGCATCCCTTCTCCCTCTCCTTCCCCCCACCACCCTGTACCCTCCTTGTGTTTTTAGATGTTTGGTTTTTTCCTTCCTATCTGAAATCCTTTATTTTGTCTTTACAGTCTGGTTGAATAGGAATCGTTTCGTTTATGCAGCTTTGTGCTTTTTCTCTACAGCTTGTATTTGCATGAATGTGTTGCAGCCTGATGCGAGTTCATTCGATTAAATAAAATGCTTAAATTGTAATCCGTGCAAAACGATCATATTTGAAACACTTGATGTCTCGGTGAGAATCCATTTAATAGTGATCAGATTTAAATGATTTAACACAGTGGTGGTGGTGGGAGGTGGGGGAGGGAAATAGAGTTTTGAGACATTCCTGTATATAAAAAAAAGATTAAACCAAATTCAGATATGTCTCTCTCTCTCCGCCTTCCCCCCCCCCGCCCTTTAAGCAGTCAAAAGATATACTGTATCCCCAGTGAAAGGGTGCTTTCAATCCAGTTATCCACTTTACCCAGTCTCAGTTTCCAGAACCTTCCACACCCCCCCTGGTTAAACCACTAAGCCTTTGATTCCTTCCTGATTACACTATGCAAGACATCTATCAAACACTGTCTTATCTGTTTGTAAGGCAGCTCAGGCCTCAGATTTAAGTCATGGGTTTTGGCTACAAGTTGGAGTGTGATTAATAATTGACTAATGTAGCTTTTATTTATCACAGGCTAGCACATTTCACCATTACCGAGTTAATTTATGTTAAGTGTAAGCTGTCGCTCAATCTGTTTTTCAACTTTTTTTTTTTTTTTTTTTTTTTTTTTTTTAAATCCTAAGTCTATCTTTCACTTTTTGAGAAACAAAATCCTTACACAGGGCACAGTCTTACTTGGTGCCAAAAAGTTGATTTCCTTTTCAGCGGAGCCATACATCACCGGCCCTCCCAGCTGCAGTGTCAGCCCCTGACAGAATGACATGTGTCATTTATCAAAGGGGCCAGGCCGGGCCTTGGGAAACGCACACGACAAAGCCTGAGAGAGTTCATTTCGCAGTCCCCTCCTACCCTCTGCGAGCCTCTTGCCAGGAAAGCCTGTGATGTTTCTGTCTTCGCAGCATTACTGTAAGTCCTTCAACCTTCACAGAATTAACCCTCGCTGCCGCCACTGCTGCTGCCAGACCTCCCCAGTGCTGCTGGACCTCCCCTTCCCCCGAGAGCTGCGATGCCCAAGTGCCATCCCAGCCAGCCCCAGTGTGGCAATAACATGCATCGGGCTGCTCCCTCATCCACTTACCCATTCCTCCTGGAAAGAACTCTTTTTCTTTTTTTTTAATTCCCATATATTGTGCGCTATAAGAATTAAAGTCCTACGTTTTTCTATGGCAGGACAAGGTCAAAGACATAAAGAATAAGGTAATAAAGCATTTCAGTCATGAAAAAAAGGGTAGCCACTGTCCTGTGCACAGGTAGGGATTTGTGTTTCGTGTGCGGCGGTGGATGAGACAATCAGAGAGTCTTCCTTCCACCTTCCTGTTTAAAATTTCCTTCTGGTTATTGTGAAACCATGTGCTGAAATAAATAGAGCAGGTAGTTTCTCTGCGTGCCACTTCACAACACCTGAGCTGCGTAGCACCAGCTTAGATGAACTGAGCTGGGAGGACTCACCACACTCCTCCTGAAACTCTATCAGCTAGAGGGGGCAAGGTGAGGAGAAGGAAAAGTTGATAGCATTTAACAGGGAAAAAATAATCTGCAAACCTCAAGGTGTCGCTTGCACTGAATAGTTTAATTTCTGTAATGTAGTTGCCTCAGTCCTGCAGCCCAGGAGATGACAAAGGAGTTAAAGCAGAAAATAATCTTTTACCAAATGAAGAAGAGCATGTTTTCAAAATATAACAATGTTTCCTGAAACAAAACTTTTGTTTGCATGTGTGTGTGCACAAATGTGTTTTAAGTGAATGAATTTTAAATTTTGATCGTGTACAAAGAATATGAGAAAGTTATTGTCTCCTCCCCTCCCCCCACCAAATCACTCTTTGTACTTTGCATAGTTCCTACCACACTGAAGTTATTTACAGCATCAGATATCATTTAAAGAGATAGCTAAGGAGACTGTAGCCTCAGCTAGGAACTTTCCAGAAAGGAGTCCTATAAATTAGCCATTGCTCAGGAGTGGCTGTTTTCTAGTCAGGGCTGGTCCTTTCATTTGTCTACATAAGGCTAATTTATTTTTGCAGCCAGATGTGGGCTGACAGCCATCACTCAGAGCTTCCTTCCCCCACTGTTAGGAGGTCGGGAAAACAGTCACGTTTCCCATTTTACAGAATCCCCATCAACATTATTGAAGATGGATGTATCTTTAAAGCAAAGATTGATTGTGGATATCGGAGTTATGGTGTCATTTATCATAGTGAATATTATTTAGACTTGGATTGTACAAGGCTGTAACTTGAGACACAGCCAGGGGAGGGACAATCTGGAAACGAGGATCCATGAACTTTAATGGATGGATGCTTTTTCAAAGCTCCACTCACTATAGCATGATTTACTTTTCTTACAGAAAGGAAACAAGCATTTCAGTTTTAAAGGGCCAGCATGCCATCTTGTCCTCTTTAGTGGGTCCTTCACGGAGGCATCCGAGACTTAAAGCTGAAACAATAAATAGTGGTTGTGGCTGAATGTTATTTGTGTACAAGTGCTTTTATGCTAAACATATCTAGGTGCACTTGAGACTCCTGTCTTTGCAAATTGCACTGGTTATGCTCTCTGTTGAAGGGGTACTGTGGCTGAAGGATGCGAAGTATTGATTATAGGATGCAGTGATCTGAAATTTCAGAAGATCCAATAAATTGCATTACAACTGGCATTGTTACTTAGGCATGTTCATCTCTTCTCGGAGACAAAGAGCATCTAAGCTGCATACTCACTGCTTGAGGCATCTTATAGAAGTGGAGGATCCACTAAATTGTGCACATATCTGGTGGAGCATCAACTTTCTTGGTTGTTAAGAAGTGCAGTAGACCTCAACAGCTGTTTGCATGTTGTGCTTACATTCTACTGTTATGTAAAATTAAGACATGTAGTTTGAGATCTTGCAGGTGGACACATGCCTTGTATTTTCAGAATATACATTTTGGAAAACTGATTGCAGCCCTGCTGAAAATATGAAGGCATGGCTCAGCTAAGTGCTACTTCTCATTTAGTACCACCAGCATGCCAGTGTGCTTGATGAATTTATCAGAATGTTTCATCCTTTGGAACTTGACTTTTGACTTTTTTGCAAATGAACTAACTTGAATTCAGAAAATCTCAGCTAACTTCAGTTAAAGGGAGAAGTACCTGAAACTGATAGCATGGATTTAAATACAATGCAAGCATACTTCCCCCCACATATTCTGGCATCTCAGTCCCACCTTGAAACTTTCTTCCCTTAGCATTATTTCCCCAATTACTTTGTTCAGGTAACCATCTGCTCCCCAGGTGAAATTGCTTGTCTTCCATGTCCATCCAGTTTCTGATTTTCTGATTTCCACTGATACCTTCCATTTCCCACTGATACAGTTCTTAGAGTTCATTTGCATGCCTCTGATCATAACCTGGGGTGCCTGGCTACCTGCCCCACTTCAGTGGGTCATGTATCACAGTTTGGGAATTACTGTGTCATACGACAGAATTCCACTGGACAGTAGTTTATTCATGTGGGCTGACACGTGTCTACTTAGAGGAAGGTAGTAGCATTCACCAGACTTGTTCTTGATGAAACCATCACATACTATCATTTAAAGCAGCAGTTCCCCAAGGATATACTAAAACTTGAACCAAACTATCTTCTTTTTGTTTTTTTTTTTCCTTTAAACAAAACTAGAAATCACTTTGCTGTCATAAACCAAATTCAGTACAAGAGTTTTCATATGAATAGTCAAGCTCAAGAGTTTTTAAAAAATCCAAACAATGAAAGCAATTATGAACATCTGTTTTTGAATGCATATGTATTCTGTACATAACAAACAGAGAAATCCTATTATCTAGAACAATAAAAGGGAATTTCCCTTTCTCTCTGAACACTCTCTGGGAGGAATATGGCCTTCCACTTAGAATCCTGATTTGGTGGGTTTGGATTTTTTTCTATTATTAATGAATTGAAAATGAGGATATCTTATTTTTTTTCCACTTTTTTTTTTTTTCTTTTCCCCCCTCTCTATTTCTTGTAGCCGAGATTTCAATTTCAGGGACACTAGTATAAATCCTGGGAATCTATTTTTACACCTGTGCAGCTGAGATCAGAATGCCTCTATGAAGGCCTGCTATATTTACTCATACATAAAAAGTATTTTTCTCTTGCTTGAGAAACATACAAAATGTCTTCAAAGAGGAAGCAGTTTATCAAATTCATATTAATCACAGCATCAATAATGTTGACCGGGGTCAAGTCATTACACTAAATATATTGTAACCATTATTAATGCATGTACCCCAGTGCCATAGCTATGATATAAGACTGCTGTTTCCTGATTAAAAGCTGTTTGGTGATGCAGAGATTCAATACAGATTCTCCCTGCCTTGTGGTGACTGACAGTAGCTTCTGGTATTCTGCTTTCTTCTGACAGTGGAGTATATTAATATGAACACACCTTACAGAGGGGGCTAAAAGAAGTGCAGAATGCAGAAAACAAAAGTGTCTAATTTCAACAGCCACAACTGTGCATCCATAAGGCAGCCAAATTTATCATGGCACATTATGGAGTGCAGCAAATGTCATGAAAACCATTGTTTTTTAATTTTTTTTTCCATGAGAGTCTGAATGAGGTGATTTATGGTAGTTATCCATCTTAAGGGTCATCCATCAACTTTTAGTTGCTAGGCAATCAAACCAACAGCTGTTTGCTTTGAATCAAGCTGAAAAGTTGTCAGTCATCACATGCAGGTATGACCTTAGTGGTTAAAAACATTATCATGCATGTAAAATTAAAGAGACAAAGTCCTTGTTCTCTCTCTCCCATAGTGTGGCTTATTACTTCCCATGAACAACACAGGTAGCAATGGCCCCAAAGCTTTTATTTAAGGCAACATTTTGGAAGATCATGGTGCCAAATGTGCTGGTCATTGCATCTCAGAAATATTTGTGTGCTCACGTAGAAGTTCTTTGTAGAGAAAGAGTTTGTAGTAGGGTGGTTTCTCAGATGCAACATCAAGTTAACTAAAATAGAACTTTTTGAACTCAGTCTTATTGGGTCTAGATGTTGAGAAAAAAAACCAAGAAAACACAGTTGTAAGAGGCTACACAGTTGTAAGAGTTTGGTTGAATAGGTGCACATCTTGCTGCTGAGGTAGTTAATGGTGCAATATTTTGTGTAAACAATGCTAGGGAGCTCTTTCCAGATGGAGCTCTGAGCAGCCTGATCTAGTGAAAGGTGTCCCAGCCCATGGCAGAGAGGTTGGAACTAGATCATCTTTAGGGTCCTTTCCAACCCAAACTGTTCTATGAATTTGTGATTCTATGATTCTGCTGTTTTACTGTGTCCTCTTAGAGTAGGTCTAGAGGACACGGTGATGAAACCTCCTAAATTCCATACTTCCACCATGTTTGTTACTATAAACAGACCAATATCACTTGTGATTTGGAGGCATTGTATTTAACAGTGAAGAATGACCTGATTGTAATATGAGAATATGAATTTGTTTCCCTTCCTTACATCTGGTCTTCTCTTGAAATTGCTTGCAAGAAGTTATTTTAATTGCCATTTGGTTCCACTGAGTGCCATTCCCTGTTAAACAACTTCAAAATGACTGACATGTAAAGTGAGCTGGATTCTGCAAGAGTTTCTAGAAAATACTGAAGAAGATTGGAGGTACATTGTTGAGAAGACAACAATGTACGTTATTTCAATAAACTATACAGTTGCCAACTTGCTGTTAGTTCCTGATACTTGGAAATTGCATGCATCTCCAGTGCTGTAATCTTGAGCCACAGAGCTGCTGGCAGATTGACAGAGATGTAGCAAATGGTCAGAAATGCTCTGTGCAGAAGTGGAAAGGGGAAGGGAAGCGAGCCATTTTTGGGAAAAAGCTGCCTTCGAGCCATTTTTTACCAAATGTAGCCAGAGGACTACCTTTATCTATTG